TTTAAAGGAGGTCTATTCAATCTTGACGCTCTACTGATGCATATGTTGCTTGAATCCTCGGAGCTATATCATTTATATCTGTATCAGGTGCAACAAACTCTCCTTGTTTATTAATATAACAAGTTGTCTGGGAGCCATTTTTCCAGTGAATTACTACCTTGTTATATAAGTCTCGTAATGAGACTTCTTCACTGGCTTCCATTTTCAACTTAATGGACTTAAGTGTGTAATATAAAAACTCTTTTGGATAACCATTGAGTGCTTCTCTCCATGTAATTTCTTCTTTTTCACGCTCTTTTTTAAGTGTTTTATTTTGCTTTTGTTCGTGTAGAACGTCTTTCTCTAACTTTAAACACTCATTTTCTAATCGTAGATCTTCCTTTTCTTTACGTAGCTTCTTTACTCTCCTTTGTACTGGACTAGCGGCATGGTCTACGTCTTCAGAACCAGAATGAGAGCTATAGTCACTATCTCGGTGTTTTTTTTGCATTTCTTGTTTATACTTTTGTATATCCTCTTTCGCTTTTTTCAATTGTTTTTGTAAATCCTCATTTTCATTTTTTAGCTTCCCCATTACGTTTAGAAATTCACTCGGACTATCAGCAATTTGTTTATTTTGTTGAAAGTAACCTACTAATCTAGAGGGTTGAAATTCTTCTACCTTCTTTTTCACCGCATCCATAGTTGAGGATATATCATTTTTGATCTTTTCAACTTCCGATAGACCAATTTTTCCTGTTAATTCTTTTACATGTTTACAAATAACTAATGCATCTTCGCACAATTCATCTAAATCTATTTTGATTTTTTCCCTCATTCCTCCAAGCTGTTCAAGCGTTTCTTGGATTGTCAAATTTGAAGAAATCAATAGTTTTGTTTCAAGCGATGCAATAGCTGCATTCAAATTTTTATCTAACACGCCACAGGTATTCTTCGTGAAATTAGTCAAAAATTTTTCAAACACCCTCAATCCTCGAGATATAGTATCACTGTCTTTACTGCTTTCAACCTTGTTTTCCATTACTAACACAACTTTACTCTTTAAGAAGGGAACAAAAGCATTGAAAAAGGGAATAATGTTTGGGCTTCTGAATTTTACTACAGCGTTAAGCTCATGGTCTATTTTGTTATTTCTCAGTTTATTCAATGCCACAAAAGCGCCGATAACAGCAATGGCAACTACCATTGAGATGAAAGATATCTCTTCCCACCCGCGTATATTGGCAAGACCAAATTTTCCAAGTGCAACAGTTACAATCAGACTGCTGATTACATATGGTATAGTAATAAAAATAACTTTATTTCTATTCTCTGCAGCCTGATTTTCTAATATTACTCCTTGCTTTTCACCAATGGGTACGATTATTGAAATTTTTTTATCAGTTATATGACTTACATCAGAAATAGTTTCTATTGATCGCACATCTTGTGCGAGATGGTTTATCTCATCACTTTGTCCACCTCTAATGTCTTTATTTATGAATTTTTCATCTTTTATTTCTTGCTTATGTATATATTTAAGGGTTACAGAAATTAAAAAAGCCGCTACAAGACCGAGGGAAACGAGAGCATATAATGAAATTGCATTTGGATCTAATATATTTGTAAGAAAACTTAGATCATTGCGAGTGATCATAACTGCAGCAATATAAGCTAAAGAGAATTGCACCCAAGTGTTAATAGCTGCTGTAGATATTGTGCCATTTATAGAATATTTTTTTGTTGCATACCAGAGCTTAGTAGGATAACCGACAACATCGGCAACACCGCCAACTCCATGTAGAAATTTAATGGTATTAGAAGGATCTGCGCTCATGTTTTTACTTTGATTGAGTTATTATATGTTAGTTATGATTAAAGATCAAGCTTTATACCAAGGTCTAATAGCCTCTACAAACCAAAATCCAAGCAATCCATACGGAGCACCAACGAAGTTAAAAACTTCATGAAAACTACTGCAGTCTTGTCAAGTCGAGAAAAAATCCGCCTAAAATGTTTTATCTTACAAAAAAAATACTCGATAAAATGCCTCTCTTTATAAACGTATTCGTAATAGTATCTCCGCGCTTTTCGATTTCTTTTTAGAGGAGTGCATTGCTATAGCAACCCTTATCGGCTACTAAAGTAGAGTTTGAACATTTTCAGTCAATGTTTTAGCCTGTGTAATATCATTTTTTTGATTAAGAGTAGTTGTAATCCATCTTTGCTGCGTCCTAGTGCTTCTTGAGCTCCAGAATCTTTTTTGTATTCAGCAGTACAAGCATGAGCTCGAATGATTGTCCCATCAATTATTTGCACTTCCAAATCTGGATCTTATGTATATTTTAACAATCTTTCTCAAATTCCCTTTTATACCAATTTTAAATCTCTTATGTACACTTCTGTAATTGCCATATATTTCTAATAAAAGTCCTCATTGGCAACCACTTCGTGTCACATGCTACACTGATTCCATGAGTTTTCTTAGATGATCTTCATTTTTACTGTGTATTTCTTTTATACTTTTCAAATTTGCAAAAATTTGTTTCCATTTTGTTTCTTATGTATAATATTTCATTTGAGTTTCTCCTTGTTTATTAACTGGTAAACTACCACTTTCTTCTTGCTTCTTTAAATTTTGGTTTATAGAAGTTAAGATTAATATCCCCCTGTCCTACCAGAGCTTTTACTACATCCATATGAGCACCTATAGCAGCCAGATATAAGGAGTTATTCACAATAATCTTTAGTATGAATATCCACACCACCCTGCTACCAAATTACTTACTACATCGATCTGACCTTTTTCAGCAGCAGATGTAAGAAGTCTTCCATATTGTCTATAGGAGCCANCGGAAATCGGAGTTTGCATGAGATCTGCTAAGGCTTGAATGGGTTTTTAAACTTT